TGACTACACTTGGAGAAAAGACACTGTGGAAGAAAGAATAAAGTACCGTGGGGACTGAGGTAGTTCAAGGAGTCTTCCTGTAGAAGGGCTTTGAACTGAGTGCTTTAGGCAGGTGGCCCTAGAAGCTAAGGCTGAGGACCCACAGTGGCAAAGGAGGGGATAGGGTTGAACTGAACTTTTTTGTGCAGCTTTTATATGAAAGGCTGAACCTGGGACACTGGTGAAAGCCACTTCCCAACTGTTACCTCCATTCCTGGGGTGCCCCTGGACTGGGAACTAACCCACGAGAAGGATTATCAGTGTCTCTCAGAACTATGCTGAGGTTCAGGTCTGGGGAAATATGAATTTTCTCAATTTATGCAAACCAGGCTTCTATCACAAGCTATAGAAGTCTCACTCCCAATCCTAAACCTAAAAAGTGGGAGGGGAGAGCTGGAAGGGAGGAGGACTTTGGAGAGAAGAACGTGGGAGGCTGAGGTTCTTGGAGCCAAGTGTCCTTCCTACCCTTCAAAGTAATGAAAGACACTGAACATGTTATCACAAGGGGCTGGTCCACTTCGGCTCATACATCTCCCTCCCAAAAGGGAGTACCTCCGTCCCATCAGGCTTCATGTCTGGACAGCTCGAGTGTGCCAGTGACCCCTCATGTCATCTGAGCCCTTGCTGCTGTCCTTCAGGGCTCCAGAATAAACTCAATCCTAGTTCTACACAAATGCCTTGAAGGCAGCACCCCTGAAACAGACTGGCCAGCCTTCTGCTGTTTACAAGAGCTGTCACATTAACAGCTCTTCAGTGGAGCAGGTGTTTCTATTTTAGAGAAGAGGAAATAGGCTCAAAGAGAATAATTGCCTTGTCCAAGGTCACACTAAATCTTAATGTACATCCTTGTCAATCCTGTCTTCTCTGGTCATATTTCCTTGAACTTTGTCTTCTTCCTGCTAAAGGAAGTCTCACCTCCCTTCCTCTGACTGCCATGCTTTCTCTCAATAGGAGAATAATAACAGATATTAAGAGATCCTGCCTCTTGGGCAGGAAAGGGCAGAAGCAGAACTAGAAACTTTCTCAGGTGAATGAAGAGAGGGATGACTCTAAAAGCTCTAGTAGATGCCCAATGCTTGGTAAAGTAAACTGGGGGGACAGTAACTCATTTCAGGAAAGAGATGGGGACCTCTCCTGGCATGGGAGGGACTGGATAGTCCCCAAGAAGAGGCCACCCTTTACCTGTGGAGTCACTGGGTGCTGGCCCAAAGGGGAATGGGGCTGAAAGCTAGTACTGATAAGGCACTTGGAGTAGCACTTGGCATGGGTCCTGTTTGAGCCCTCTGGTGCTACTTAGCACATTTATGACACAGTGGCAGGGAACAGTGCCTTTGCTGTATATGCATTCAGTGAGTGCTATAGGATTACAGTGGGCCATCAGAGAGGACAAGACTAACCCAATGTCACACAGCAAATACACAGTAAAGTGAGGACTTTGTCTGCAAGGTCTGGGTCTTCTTGAAAGCATACAGGCATTTGAGGAACTTGGCTACCCCTGGTTGTTCCCGCCGCCCCAATTCTTCTGTCTCCTGTCCCACAGACATCCAGGAGTATGCAGATGAAATTCCTTCAGAATGGAAAACCTACAATTTCCACAGGGTAAGAGTGTGCTTTTCACTCTTCACCAAATTCCTGCCTGCTCTATAAAACCTAGCTCGGAAGTACAGAAAATGACCATGTACAAAGCCACACAGGAAGTTGCATCAAATTCCAAAGAATCTCACAGACTAAGATCTCTGACCACAAGGCAGTGTAAGTGGAAATCAACAAGAAAAACATAACCCTTCCATAGGTTAAGAAACTAAAAACCAACTTCTAAATCATCCAAGAGTTAGAGGGGAAATTATGACATTTGTAAAGTGCTTAAAAATGAAGGAAAACACAAGCAGTTTTTAAGTCATCACCTCTAGTTCTAAGTTATCCTTGACCCCACACTACTCCTCCAGATGACTCTTTGCCCTCTACCTAGCTCTGCATCCAGGAGGCTGGGCTACAACAACAGGTTCCCTTGTCCTTGGCTTCTGATGTGATTCAGCTATGGGGACCCTCAGAGATGGGAGGAAAGGCAGAGGAAAATGAGGCCCTTATTGACCGAGAGTCCTCCCCTTATGACTGCTGCGGGCTGGGTACACCCTCTCCATTGGGCCACGGAGCTTGCTGTAGCCCTCTCATCATCTCCCACTCCATGTATCTCAGCCTAATGTTGTTGACAGCTACCCACTGCCTTTGCTACCTCTTTGGTTATACACTTGCTACATGGTTTCCCTACACCCTAACTATACCTATAAAGCAGTGACTTTATTATACTCAGGAACTCCATTTGTTTCCTGGGACACCCCACTCTTGTCTAGTAGTCAGCTATCAATGCATTACATTATCCCCTTCTCACTTCTGGATGACTAAGCTCTGACCTTGCTATCTATATGTGTTCTGTCCCAATTGTTGACCTGTCAGCACCTGAGTTCAGTGACTGATTCATCGCCCAATCCCCTGATCACAGTGCACTATCAATCTCAACAAAAGATACTGATTAGTTTATCAAATTAAATGGTAAATGTGAATTCCCTCAATATGTATTTGTTTATAGGAGATTGGGTCTAGATTGACTCAGACATAAAAATACAGAGAACTTTAGGCTGGAGCAGAAATAAGCCCTCACACAAAGAATGAATCCTCAATTCTGAGCTAAAATTCTCTTTTTAAAAATTTTTTGATTGGTCCAGGCCTGGTGGCACACAACTTTAGTCCCAGCACTCGGGAGGCAGAGGCAGCCAGATCTCTGTGAGTTCAAAGGCCAGCCTGGCCTACATTAGTGAGTTCCAGACCAGCTGGGGCTACAGGGAGACACTGTCTCAAAAAGACCACAAATTAAAAAAAAATTTTTTTATGTGTTTGAGTGCTTTGCCTACATGTATGTAAGTGCACACATGTCATGTAAATCCCACAGAGTCCAGAAGAGGGTGTTGAATACCCTGGAACTGGAGTTATGGACGATTGTTAGCCACCATATGGGTGCTAGGAATCGAACCCAGGTCCTCTGGAAGAGCAGCCAGTGCCCTTAACCGCTGAACCATCCTTCTAGCCCCTGAGCTAAAATTCTTAAGGATCTAAATGTGTTCTCATGCCACTAAGCAAACAAATCCAGACCCAAGGGGAACCCAATGGGGCATCCATGCCATGGTAAGAGACCACCTACAGCCTCCATCCCCTACCCATGGCTGTTCACCATTTACTCCTCCCAGGGTAAAGCTGACTTTGGCAGCCCAGCTGTCTGCCATAGCCATCTGTACTAGTTACTTTGGGGGAGGGGTATTGTGAGGGGTCTCCCTGTAGCCCCATCTGGCCTGGAACTCACTATGTAGATCAGGCTGACCACCTGCCTCTACCTACCTCTACCTATGTAGATCCACCTACCTCTACCTCCAGAGTGCTATTAAAGGCCTTCACCACCATACCCAGTTTACTTTTACTGCTATGGCAAAATACCTGGGGAAAGCAACTTAAGAAAGGGTTTATTTTGGCTCCAATTTGAGGATACAGTCCATCATGATGGGGAAAGCATGGCAGGGAGAGCGGCTCTAAGCTGTGCCAGCAGGAGCACAAGGAGGTTGGCCAGGTTATGTATGTGGTCAGGAAACAGAAGCATGAATGCTGGTGCTTGCCTGGCTGTTTTTCTTTTTTCCCTTTTACATCCAGTCCAGACAGTGGGAATGCTGTGATCCACATTCAGGGATCCTTTATTAAACCTCTCTGGAAATTCTCTCTCTCTCTGTCTCTGTCTCTCTCTGTCTCTCTCTGTCTCTCTCTCTCTCTCTCACACACACACACACACACACACACACATACACACACACACACACACACACACACACTCCCAGAGATGTGTCTCCTTAACAATTCTAAAGCCAGTCAAGTTGACAATGAAGATTAACCACACACCCACCTGATCTAGAAAGTCTCCTATTTCCCCTCTTATCCCAGACAGAAGTTTCTAGGCGTGAACAATGATGTCTACTGAGCACTGATGTGGCGTTATCTGCCTGTTCTCAGGGGAGGAATAGAGGTAGACAAGTAGGCAATCCAGATCAAGTATAGAAAGGACTGGAAGCTGGGTGTGGTAGCACAGGCCTTTACTTACCCAACAGAGGCAGGCAGGCAGAGGCCTGGTCTACATAGTGAGCTCCAGGCCAGCTGGGGCTACAGGGAGACCCTGTCTCAAAATGACCAGAGAGAGAGAGAGAGAGAAAGAGAGAGAGAGAGAGAGAGAGAGAGAGAGGAGAGAGAGAGGATTGGAACTTGTTGCAATGAGGGAAAGAAGCTATTTGGAAGAGGAAACAACTGAGACCTTAAAAGGTAGGAAATGGGATGGTTTGGGGTGGAGTGAGGAGAACCAACCGAGCTGACAAGTTCTCCAAGCCCCAGTGAGGAAGGTGAAGTCGGCTTATTTGAGCTTTCATGGAGGGTACTCTCAGGAATTATTATCCCTACCAAGTCATTCACTCATTCAAATGGGGTTTTGAGTGCTATGTGTAATAGTGGGCTGGAGGCTGAGCACACAGTCACGGAAAGACAGCTCTGATCCTTGAGTTTTTAGAGACAAGTGGGGCACGCATGACTCCAGGAGGGCAAGAAAACCACCATTTCTCTAGCAGCCTCTTTGTTTCTGCTTCAGATAAAAGCTGGACTTGTCCCCATTTTACAGTCTAGGAATCTGAGGCTGCCTCCGTAAGGAAGATCCAGAGCCCCCCAGAGGGCAGCTGAGCTAGTCCTCTGCCCTCCGCGGAGGCTGTGAGCCCGACAGGGACTTCCCGGAAAGAGGGAGAGGCCTGTGTACTGGGGTTGGGGGGGTCCCTTTCCCCGCCCCTCCCCGCCCCGTGGCCGCGGCGTGGCTGAGCCCGGGGCGGAGCTGGCGTGGCCTCGCGGGTGGGCCGGACGGCGGCCGCGGCCCGACGGGGCAGGCGGGCGGGGTTTTGCTACAGGTTGGAGGGCGACCCAGCGCGGCGCGGTATAACCGCGGCCCGAGGGCTGGAACACCCGGACGGACCGCGTGGGTGAGCGCCGCGTCTCCGCGGCCCAGTCTTGCTTCCACTTTCTATTCTTGGGCCCGGAGTGGCACCTTCCGGAAGCGACCCTGGCCCAAAGGCAGGCTGGCCACAGTTCTCAGCCTGGAGTCCGGGGTCGGAGAAGTCCGGGGATGGGCGGTGGGGGTGCTGGGGGGCGTGTCTTCGAGAGCGGAAATGTCAGACTGGCGCCTCTGGGTCCTATGACCCGTTTGGCCCTGACAGCTGGTGGTACTGGGAGGTTCTTAGTCTGGGGAAGGTGGGGGTGAGCATGGCTGCCAAGCGCTGAGTCTTTTCCTCTACTTTTCGCTCCGATCTTCTTCTACAGGGCATTCCTGGCTGGATTCTGAGTTCAAGCTGGGGCCATCTTCTGACTGAGATCCTGAGCCAAGCCCAGGGGAAGGGCAGGTGTGTCCCTGACAAGGGGCCAAATATTAGGAAAGGGCAGGGTCAGTCAGCCAGGGGTCTTCATTTGAGAAGCTGGAACACTCCTATCCCAGATGCTCAGTCAAGGAGTGAGCAAGCCACTGGCCACTCACACACCAACACTGAAAGTGGAGGTTTCAAGATAGAAGGGGCAGGGAAAAGGAGGGCAGAGGTTCTGTGAGAAACAATCTTGAAGGCATGAGGGTGTGTCCTGGACAGCAATAACAGACATGAGTAGGAGGGGACCAGCTCTCCTAGCTTACCTCCTGTACCCACCTCCAAAGCCTATTCTTTCTGGAAAAAGTTCCAGGCCTATAGCAGGGAGGTGGGACTCCCGCTCTGTCCTCAGAACACCCAACTCGCTGGGAGAGGGGGCTGTGTTTTGGGTAGGAAGCAGGTTGGCTGATGGGTAGGGAAAATGCTGCACTTCTCTGCTCCCTTCCTCTGGGCTTATCTACACAGCCCGGTGGCCAAACAGCAGAAAAGGGGGCCTTTGCACCTGGCCACAGACTAAGCCCCTCCTTATTCCAGTCCCCACTTCTTTTAACTTGCTATGAACAGCAGATTCCTTAAATCCCCTTTCTGGGCCTCAGTTTTCTCATCTGCTCATGTGGCTCGGAACAGTTATTTCTCAGAGCTATTTCAGCTCTAAGACTTTTTTAGGCTTATGTATTTGGTGTGTGTGTGCATGTGTGTGAGGGTGTGTGTGTACCTGTGTGATATGTGTATTGATGCCTAAACTTGATATCAAGTGTCTTCCACAAATGCTCTCTACTTTAATAAGGCAAAGTCTCTCTTTATCTTTTTATTTTTATTTATATATTTTTTTTATTTTTTTGAGACAGGGTCTCCTTGTAGCCCCAGGAGGCCTAGAACTCGCTATGAGGACCAGACTGGCCTCCATTCTCACAGAAGGCCACCTGCCTCTGCCTCCAGAGTGCTGGAATTAAGGCATGTGCCACCACACCTGACTCTCTTTAATTTTTAAATTACATTTATTTATTTATTATTTGTGAGTGCTTGTACCATGATGCACATGTGTAGGTCAGAAGACAACTTGTGGGAGTCAGTTCTCTCCTGCCATGTGGGTCCCAGGAATCAAACTCAAGTGGTCAGGCTTGGCAGCAAACACCTTTACCCACTGAGCCATCTTGCTAAACAAGGCAAGGTCCCTTGCTGAACCTGCTCACAATTCTGGCTAGTCTAGCTAGCCAGCTTGCCCCGGGGATCCTCTGCTTCTGTCTCCTGAGTGTTGGAATTACAGAGGGTTGCCACATCTGCCAGGCTTTTCATGGGTGCTGGGAAGCCATACTCTGGTCCACATATTTGCACTGCAACTGCTTTATCTACTGAGCCATCTCCCTAGTCAGCTCTAAGACTCTTTGAGTCTAAGTTTTCCCTGAAGCCCGACTACCAGCTGGGCCAGACCTGACTTAAACTGGGCTGGGGTGGGACAGCAGTGGTCAAAGACCCAGCTTCTACACAAGAGTGAAATCTGGGCTCAGTAGACGAGGCTGTGGAAGGAAGTAGCTTTCGGCCTGATAGAGTAAAAGACAGGCAGGAACCAGCAGAAGACACAAGCCAGGAGAGTGGGGGCATGGTCAGAGGTCAAGGAGAAGCCCAGGGTGTCTGGTGGTGAGGGTTGCAGCAGGAAAGGTAGGATGTAGCGTTAAAAGGTAGGGTGAGGGCAATAGTAAGAGATGGGTGGGGGAGGCATACCAAGGTAGAGAACCTGATCACAGTGTAATTTTGGAAGCACCTGTCCCAGGCAGACTTTAAAAGAGAGATGGTAGTGTAGTCAAGTGTAGAAAGCTCTTCTATTCTCAGGAAGCTCAGATTCTACCCTGGCACTTCTCTGGGAAGAAGTTGGGGGACCAGGATAGATGAGAGGAACTTCCACATCTTCAGGCTTCTTTCAAGAGGACAAGAATTGTCTCTTCAGACTGCCCTCATTTTTCCTGGTTGTCACATCCCATCTGTCTGTTGCAATTATAAGGAAGAAACTCTGTTCCAAGGGTCTTCATAAGTTTGATTTGTTGCCAGAAGTAACATCCCCCTGTATTCCATACCTTTGGTTACGCCCAATTCCACCTTATTCCTGCCTCTTCCCCAATCCTTACACAGCTGTTACCAAAGGTAAAATGAGAAAGGAAACCTCAGCCAGTCTGAGATGAAGGGCAGCTTTGTCTGTGGCTGTCTTCAAGCCTCATTGTGGGACTAGAGTCAGGGCTCAGATTGTCCAGGGTCAAGGCCAAGTCAGAGTTCAGCCTGGAGCCTGAGCTCCATGCTTATTTTATACTCTACCTAGTGCTTCAGGGTCTCTGCTCAGTTTGTGGCTGGCTGTTCAGTTCTTGGCAGTTGTCTGGGTCTGCATTTCCCAGTAGCTCACACATTCTGGGGGAGATGAGATGACTAAGATACTCAGAAACCTGGCTATATCAGGGTGTCCAAGAATTTGCATGGACCAAATCCAAGGTGATACAAGTAAGCCAATTTTGAAGCAGGGACTAGATCCCAGGACTCCTCTTTATTTAGGACTCTGATTGCTGCCCCCCTGAAGTCCATTTTGAGTCTAGGATCCTTCAGTTCTAAGAGGCAAAACCTCTCTAAACTCCTCATGGGCCAGCAAGGGTGGGTCTGACTGCACTCTCCCAGCCCCCAGTGCCAGGTGCATTAAGTGTGCTAGGAATCTTGGAGTGTCAGGCACAGGTTTGGGGCTGGGCTTGGTGGGAAGGAGTTCCAGTCTTTGTCAGAGGAAGTAGTATCCTTATAGCCCTGCCAACTTCCTCCTCCTACAGTGCCTGCTGCCACAATTAAAAGCCATCCAGCTGGCTATGTGAGGGCCTTTTCCTCTTTCAGGGTAAAGAAAAAAAGGACATTTTGGGTAGAAAAGTCCCTTCTGCTCCCTGGGAATCCCCGGTGGCCGGATGTACTTCGGGATATCCCAGAGGAAGTCAGAGTCCTCGACCACCCCCTCACCCCTAGCACAGTATAGCCAGGCTCTCCCACGCAGTACAGCTGGCCTGTGGGGATCATCTTGTGCAGGCCCCTGTACCCTAGTGGACCCTGCAGCAGCCTCTGCCACTTCTATAATGGTCAAGTCCTATGAGCACCTGTTTGGAGCCCAGGCCACACCCTCTGCAAGATGTAGTGAAAGCATAGTGGAAACAAAAAAGATGAAAGGCATGTGGGGCCCCAGCAAGGGGCGAGCTGAGGTATCTGGAAGGAGATTGGGCACTGGACCTAGGGGATAAGGGTTTGAGTTCTAGGTGGAGAGTACAGTAATTGCCCCAAGGCTGACAGCTGAGAGGGAAATGATGTATTTGGAAGTCAAACCCATTTGATAAAGCCCTGACCACCTCCTTCCCCCTGCCCTCGCCCCTGGCAGGGCATCTTCAGGTCCCTGCTCCTGGACACTCAGCTCCACCGGGCCTGGCTATGGCACTGTGCCTAAAGCAAGTGTTTGCCAAGGACAAGACTTTCCGGCCCCGGAAGCGGTTTGAGCCAGGCACACAGCGCTTTGAGCTGTATAAGAAGGCGCAAGCCTCTCTCAAGTCTGGCCTGGACCTGCGCAGTGTGGTGAGGTTGCCGCCGGGGGAGAACATTGATGACTGGATCGCAGTGCATGTGGTGGACTTCTTCAACCGAATCAACCTCATCTATGGCACCATGGCTGAGCACTGCAGTGAGACCAGCTGCCCAGTCATGGCTGGTGGGCCCCGCTATGAGTACCGCTGGCAGGATGAGCGTCAGTACCGCAGGCCTGCCAAGCTCTCAGCACCCCTCTATATGGCATTGCTCATGGACTGGATTGAGGGCCTCATCAATGACGAGGATGTCTTTCCCACCCGTGTTGGTAAGTGACACTGGGGCCAAGAGAGAGCCTAGCCAAGAAGGGTTAGTCCCATATTGTAGAAGAGGAAAACGGATTGAGACAGGGTTTTGCTTAAGGTCAAACATAACCAGGAGTATCTGACGCCCATTTATGGCTCTTATTCAAAGCATAAGTGTTCTGCTAGTGACCACCCCAGCAAGACCACAAATACAGTGGTTCATCGAACCTTCCAGAACAAGTACCCCAAGGTATTTGTAACACTTTGTCTTGATTGGTCTGGACTTCCAGCCTCCTGGGAATTCCCTCTAACTCCTGGCCCTGGGAGAGGGAAGGGTTGGAAGTTGGGTGGGCCCAAAAGGTATCTTTTCCTCAGACTGGAGCTTTAGGTCCCAGACCATAGGGCATTGTCTTATCTCACCTGGGCCTGGGCCTGGGAGGGTGGGGAGGGGAGATGAGTGATGTCACCCTGGTCTGGATTCCACACTGAGGAGCTGAGCAGGCATGATACTGTGTTCATCACAGCAGCCCCACCTGCAACTGGAGTTGCAGCCCCAACCTGGGCTATGGGATTCAAATGGGTGGGGCAGGTGGTGAAGCCCAGAGGGAAGAAGTCTGAATGCTGAGGAAAGCTGGGCTCTGAGTCACAGTTTAAACCCATTGCTCCTCCCCAGCCATAGCTGTCATTTCCTTGAACCATCATGTCCAACAATTCCCTTCATTTTACATAGGGAAACTGAGGCCAAGAAAGAGAAGGATCATTGAATTACTAAGGATTTAGAACTGGAACTCAGGTCTTGTGGGCCCCATGACCCATAGTTTAGATAGATAGGATAAATGTATGTGGTCTGGGCTGGACTCCCAGGGAGGCAGAGCTCAAACTCTGAGAGCAATGAGGAGGAAGAGGGTCTGTGGAGGTATGTAGGGTACGTGTCTTTATGATGCTGCCTCTTATTCCCTTCTAGTCTACATTCCTGGGTTATATTAGTTCACTGATAGCTGAACTAATTTGTTTTTTTGTTTGGTTGTTTGTTTGTTTTTTTTTTCGGTTTCTTTTGAGACAGGGTCTCCCTGTAGCCCCAGCTGGCTGGAACTCGCTATATAGACCAGGCTGGCCTTGAACTCACAGAAATCCACCTGCCTCTGCCTCCCAAGTGCTGGAATTAAAGACGTGCTCCATCACCCCTAGCTCTGAACTAGTTTTTGAAGTAATAATTTTTAGCCTTAGGGTATGAGCCAGCTCTGTGAATATTGAAAAGAAGAGGAATTGAAGGTGAGGCTGGAAAGGGAGGTCAAGATTAGATCATAAAGCTTTGCTAGGATATTAGGCCTTAGTCCTGAAGGCCCATGTTTTTATTTTTATTGTTTTATTTATTTAATTTTATTGGTCTGTTTGAGACAGGGTCTCCCTGTAACCCCAGCTGGCCTGGGACTCACTATGTAAACCAGGCTGGCCTTGAACTCACAGAGATCTGCCTGCTTCTGCCTCCCTAGTGGTGGGATTAAAGGCATGTGCCTTTATAAAAACTGGCCCACCTGCTGAACTCCCCATTGGATTATGCAAGAGATGATGATGTGCATGTCTCCAAGGATGCAGATTTCTGTACAGAAGTTAGGCCATGTTTCATCATGCTCTAAGAAGAGTTGACAAGCTTGCAAAGCCCTGCTTTAGGCAAACTGGAAGGTGATGAGCAGGAGTTAGGCATCTTCAAATTTATTCTCCATTAAAAAGTGTGGAACAGGGGCTGGAGAGATGGCTCAGCAGTTAAGAGCACTGACTGCTCTTGTAGAGGACCTGGGTTCAGTTCCCAGCACCCACATGGTGGCTATAAACTGTCCTTAACTCCAGTTCCAGGGGAATCCAAAGTCCTCTTCTGACGTCCACAGCATTGCATGACACGGGTGCACTCACATACATGCAGGCAATACACTCATACACATAAAATAAAAATAATAAAATATTTTTTTTTAAAAGTGTGGAGCTCAGTGCTATGAATGCCTGGGTTCAATCCCCAGCACTAATCCCTACCCCCAAAAAAGGAAACTATGGGAGAAAGCAAAATCTCTTGCTTTGTCGTGCTTTAAGGGACCTGTGTTGCGAAGTGATGAGTGCTGCCTGTGGGGAAGGGCAGTTTTGTCCTTAGGATGTTGATCCCTCTATCCCTCTCCACCCCCAGGAGTTCCCTTCCCCAAGAACTTCCAGCAGGTCTGTACCAAGATTCTGACCCGCCTCTTCCGAGTCTTTGTGCATGTCTACATCCACCACTTTGACAGCATCCTCAGCATGGGGGCAGAGGCACATGTCAACACCTGCTACAAGCACTTTTACTACTTCATCCAAGAGTTCAGCCTGGTGGACCAGCGGGAACTGGAGCCACTGGTGAGGCTAAGTCTCTACTACCTTCACTGCAAGGCTGTCCTCTGAGTTTTCAGATCCAAAGGCTGCCTGCTATAAGAAACTCTTAATACCCAAGTAGATAAATGAGGGGACGCAACTAAATGGATTCTGTATTTTCATGGAGAATTCATTCAGATGTCAGTTTACAAACTCAGATCTGCTGCTATGATCTGCGGCTCAGTGGGAAAGAGTATACTCTTTAAAACCCATGGTTTGGCAAGGGATTGCCTGGCGGTCTGAGCTCAAACTAACCCTTCCTACCTTGTGTCTCTACAGAAGGAAATGACAGAAAGGATCTGTCACTGAGTCCAGACCTGGATGTTGTCACCTGTCAGATGGACCATCTGAACACAGTGTAGCTGGGAGAGGGAACCCTCAGGAGCCTGTTCGTAGAGCAATCTGAAGGCCTATAGGACCCCTCTACAAACCCACCCTCTAGGCTTCTCAGGAGTCTGCCTATGTGTCCCCCACATGTGAATGGAGAAGGGAGGGCTTCAAGTAGGCAACAGGAGAAAAAGAGGAGTTAAACCGCTCACAATAAGCCTGAGAGTGGGGTAGGCTACCAAGTTTCTGCTCTGATACTTTACCGTTCCACCCTACCATGGCAGTTCCCAAGTCTGTTTGGGGAATATGGATATGGCTAAGGTGATGACAGAAAAGTTAGAAGAGAGTGAGTACCTGGATCTGAGCAGGCAGGGATGCGAAAGAGAGAGAGAAGGTCAGCCTAGGATATATGAGACCCTAGAGAGAGAGAGAGAGAGAGAGAGAGAGAGAGAGAGAGAGAGAATTTTGACTGGGGTTTGTCTGTGAGAGCTAGGTGCTTCCTGGCACAAAGTAGGTCCCTCCATATTGGACGGGTAGATGGACAGAGAGGTAGATGTCAAGAGATTGGGACCAGAAGACCATGACTGCTGTAGGGGTGACAGCACAATGCCCCCAGTTCAGGTATCTAACCATTTGTGTAAGTGTGAAAATGTGGTTGTAGTTGGAATTGTACATCTGAAACTTCCAGACTACCGTCTTCCACCAGCATGAGTCACGGGGAGCTGGGTGGAGGTTAAAAGGGGAAGCCTTGCCCTGAGTTCCTTAAACCCTGACCCACCACTATGTAGGCTCAAATTTTCTCAGCCAAGGATGCCCATGAGTTGTCTCGCTTTACACATCTCTCTGCCTCCAGGAGGGCCTGATAACAATGAGCCTCTGGGGTTTGGGGTTGATCCTGCATGTACAAGGTCCCCTGGCTCTTGAACTGGGACTCAGCTACTCTATCTGCCAGAACCTACAGACCTGAAGGCCAGCATAAAATAATCCTCTGCCAGAGAGCCAGTGGAACTTGAATTTGGAAATTTGGAATCTTGTCTCCCATCCCAGGACACTGAGGATTATGTAGCTGGTGGAGACCCTCCCACCTGAAAAGTACCTGCCTCCTTCCTAACCATCCTTGAGACATTCCAGCTACTTGGATCTCCAAGTACAGCTATCCAGAGAGGCTCAGTTGTTCACTCAGCACCTATTACTCAGGACCTCCATGCTGAGCCCTTTGTATACACTCACAGCTGGGGAAACCAACGCAGAAACAGGTTTCTGCCCTCCCAGAGCCTCTATCCCAAGAGGCCAGGACAGAGAACCAGAGAGACCTAAGAATCATCCCATCTGTCTCAGTGTGCAAATGAGAACACTGAAACCAGGAGAAGCTGTTCAAGGCCTTCGTGAAGCTGATGTAAAAACCAGGGGTCTTGACTCTCTCTCTAGGACCCGTTGATTGGGATACACAGATGCATGCAGAAATACAGTCTGACAGACCCTCTCCAGAACTAACAATATTCCTACTTTGAGCAAGGATTTCTAGCCTGATGCTAGAGGGCCCTCCCACCCCTGGGTTGGCTGGGGCTGGCTGCTGAGCCAAGCCTTCAAAACCATGCCCTTCTTAATGGCCTATGAATTGCCTGCTCTCAAGGGAAACAGGCTAGTCGGTGGAACCTGGAACTTCTGTCTGCTGCCCCAGAGAAGTTCCCAAAGGAAATATGCTGGCCTGGCAGTTTTGGCAGCAGCTCTGGACTGAAGAGTGAGAGGTTCCTCCACGATGGGCTGCAGAATATATTCTGGATTCTAGGCCATTGTAAGGGATGGTTGGGGGTTGAGGGAGGGGAAATTATTTTTGTGAAACGGAAGATTTTATTGTTGCTAGTTTTGGTAAAAATAAAAGAGGCAAACTAAAGCAGCCACTGGTGAGAAGCTTGTGGTCTGGGTGCCACATGGGTCTTGGCAGACTATTAAAGGAACAGGGCCAGAATGGGACTGGAAAGGCATTTTGTCCTAAGATCCTGGACCATGTGGATGCCTGGCTGGCACAGTCATGTGTGGCCTAGCTTTCCAGTATGAGGATACCCAGGTCTCCCAGGGTTCCGTGACTTCTAGACCAAGCTAAGTTAGGAGGCTTGGGGAGGGGAGGCCTAGCCCTTGCCTTCCAGGAACTCAATCTGATCTGATAGGTAATCTTTACTTGTTTCAGTTCAGGTCACCTGGCACTGGCTATTCCCACCCCACCCCCTTCATCTCAATGGTTTGGAGAACTCAAGGCTAAGGGGCAGTGGGAATATAGCCCCAAGCTTAATTATAGGGCAGGAAGACACTCTTAGGACTGGAGATCAAAGTTGAGAAATGGGATAGATTTCATGCCAGAGCTTAATTCCCAGGAGACACCTGGAACGCTTGGTTGAGGTCTTGCTGTCAACCAAAAACCCCTAAAACCACAAGTCACCCAGATGGGAGTTAAAAGCTGGTCCCTCTATACCTATAAAAGAGCCAGCAGGGACTCCTCCTGGGAGGTGGAGGCCTGAGCTCCAGCTCCCAAAGTACCATGGCAAGTACCTTCCCCCTAAACCAGTTCCTGTTTTGTGGAAGTTCTAGGTTGTCAAGATTGCTCAGTGGATAAAGGTGTTTGAAACCCAACAATGCAAGCTCGATGACCTGAGTTCAATTCCCAGGACTCCTGTAAAGGTGAAAGGAGAAATACTTGCTATGGAATGTGTGACACACACACACACACACATACATTTAAAGAATGGACTGAAGGTCTGATTGATCTCTAAGCTCCTTCATTATTCAGCCTGTGAACACACACAATAATTCCTAGCTAACACTTACTGTGTACCTGAGGGTACAGCTCCAAGCGCTTGACTTATAACCAAGTCTCTCTTTAGCCAGCTGCCTGACTTTCCTCCCAGTTCCCATTAGCTCTCCCTTTTCCTGCTCCAGAATCTGGAAGGCTCTCCATTTTGCTACACCTTTTTATGCCCAAAGCCCAGCATTCTAAAAGAGCTGTTTGCAAACCTCCTATGACAAACCAGTCACTATTTCTGTAATCACTGGACAGCTCAGACTAAGCAAATCCATGCACTGAGCTTCTGGTCATTTTGAAGCACACCATGGAAGTAAAAGATTTATCTCAGAACTGAAGTATGAAATATATTAGGAAGCCAACACACATACACACACATGCACTTGCTCTGAGACTGAGAAGGATGTCTAGAAGACAGGAAGACAGAGCTGGGGCCTCAGTAATGAGAGAAAAGAGCCTCTCCCCGCACCCCCAAAACAGGCAAAGAGAAGGAAGGTAGCTTGCCTGGGAAGCCAGGCTGGGCTGTGTTTTCCTGTGACTTCAAGATCCACAACAATCTCTGGGGCAATGAGCAGGAAGTAAGCTATCTTCTCCACCCTGGGGCAGAACATGCCTTGTCAAATCAAAGATGCTGAACCACCCTTAGCTCCCAGGAACACTGCAGCCTCTTAGGTTCCCCGCTGTCTCTGTATGGAGGTATGGGATATAGAATAGGCCACAAACATGTCAGTTCCACATGGTTTGACAGCCTGCCTGTGAGTCCCCTCACCGGTCCACAGCCTCTAATGGTTGCCATGTGTGTTGGGGAGGGCATAGTAATTTTGAGAATACACCTGAGTAACTTAGGATCAGTTGACTGTTGATAAATTGGAGAACAGGCCAACAAAGCCTGAGAATTTAAGGCTGGGATGGGCCTGGAAGGTGATGAGGGAAGAGACTGGGATGAAGGGCCTTCAGGAAGTACTCTGGAATTATGGAAGAGATTAAGCACAGAAGCTTGGAGAAAGACTCACCTTTCCAGCCATCACACAGATTGGAAATCTAGCAGTCTTGAATGTTCCCCACTTCCATCACACTGATGAACAGATGGACCAGAGGGAAAGAGGGAACAGATGTTCCTGAGATAAGGTGTTCGGAAGTCCAAGAAGCTCATAAAGCAGCACTGGTTACCAGACCCTCAACAATACTGAGAAGGGAAGGAAGGGATGTTTACTTTCATCTCAGAAAGAAAAACAGCAGAACCTGAAGTGAAGCCAAGTCAGCACTGTCTTCCTTCTCTGGCACCTGCAGCATGTGGAAGTGTAGCAAGGAGCTGGTTGAGGTAGTGATCTAATTAGTTCCCCCACACACAGCCCCCCGACCCCCCCGAAAAAAACCCTACCTTTTAAGTTTTTCGGTCGTTTTAAATTACTGGAGGTAAAGTTTTACTCAAACTGTTCTAAAATACTGTGCACACAGACCCTTAAAGAAATTTTACGGAGTTACGCCTGGTGGTATACGCCTGTAATCACAGCACTCTGGAGGCCGAGTCAGAATCATGGAAGAACCTGATTT